CTAGAATGTAGAAGAGCTGGGATGCAAACAAGGGCCACCTCACTCCAGGCTTGCATCCCCAAGGCCCCAGGAAAGCCTCCTCCATAGGCACCAGCCTCCTATCCCACTGAGGCACCATGTTAGCATCATGAATTGGATGAAAGACCCCAGCGAGGCAGAGGATTAGAGGACAGAGGGCTGAGGAGTGGTGGGGTCCGGTCAAAGCCTTTTTCCCTTCTGCCCTCTTCCAGCCAGTGCACACCCCCCAGCCTTCCAGCTGTCCAACCCATTGGCACCTGTCACTGCTTTCCTCAGCTGCTTTCCCCATCCCTCAGACCTGGAAGACTCCTAACACATGCCTCTCTCAGCAGAGGATTCCAGGAGGATAATTGAGGGAGGCCTGGCCTCGCTGGTGCTCCCTCCACCCCTGACAGGATAACTAAGGGTGGAGGGGGGGACCTGGTCTCTAAAGGGAGAGAAGACGGCACTCACCAGTCACAGACTGGCCTTGGGTCACTCAGCCCATGCTGCTCTAGTTTACTGTTGGCTCTTCCCATGGATCTGGAGGCCCTGAAACATGCAGTCATCACCTGCAAAGCTCATGCGCCTTGATGGGCATTGTAGTGAGGGTGCCATGCTTATCTGCAAAGTTCTCAGCAGGTCCCATCACTGGATGGTCTTATATGTCCATACATGCACATATGCATATGCACATAAGGGCTTCCCTCGTGGCTCAGCTGCTAAAGAATCCGCCTGCAATGCGGGAGACCTGGGTTCGATCCCTGGGTTGAGAAGATCCCCTGGAGAAGGGAAAGGCTACCCACTCCAGTATTATGGCTTAGAGAATTCCATGGACTGTATAGTCCATGGGGTTGCAAAGAGTCGGACACAACTTTTCATATCCACATATGTGTATACACACGTGTGACTATATACACATACACAAATATGTATATACAATGACAAGAGAATAAAATACTAACCCTTAGGACTAAGTCACCATGACTACTGGCTTGGAGGCCCTAGGAGCTGTCTGGTGGTAACAGCAATTATTTCTCAGAACCAGGTAATAATACACAGAATTTAGAGCTTACTGAGTGTCTTCCCATCCATTATCTTACTGGTGAGTCCCAATCTCCCTCTGAAACACTAGGACATCTCTCATCATCCCCATTGTTCAGATAAGGAAGACTGAGGCTTAGCCCAATCCTGTGAAGCCCTAATTGGCAGTGCCCAGACATTCCCTACTACATGCTGCTATGTCTCAGGCCTCCGTCACCGCCCTTGGGCCAGCCCACTCTCTGAACTCAGGCAGCGGCAAACACTGCCTCCAGCAGTGCCAGATAAGAGGCTGGGTCCTCACGCCCTTCTTTGGGGGAAAAATTATACAGGAGACAAAACACCAAGGAGCCAACAGGACAGAAGAATATATGCCAGACGTCGGCAACGGTCCTCTCTGAAGCATGGGTGCCTCCATGCGCCAAGTCTCACATTTCTAAAATGTCCCCACATTTTTACAATAACCATGTATTACTTTTATGATCACAAAAATCGATAACTATAAAACAGAAGCACCGGAAGAGTTCAAAGAAGCAGGGACCCCATTAAAGAACCATCCTTTAAAAAAAGTGCCCTTGAAAACAATTCATCTTCTCTCCCGCTGCTGTTAAAAGCAAACACTCGAGGTTAGCAGTTGGAAAACCAGGTGGTGGTGGCCCTACAACCAGCCTAGCAGGAAACTGGACTGGACAGTGAGTGTTTACTACGTGCAAATCGAGGAAGAGGAAAAATCTAGAACAAAGCCTGGGCTCAGGACGTAGGATGAGGTCTGGGGGAGAGATGTGAATGGACACATAGCATCTCTGGAGGAAAGAATTCCTTGGATGGTTTCCATAGTCCCCAACCAGGCAGAATGAACTAGCAAGCTGTCTCACATGGGTGCCTGGACGTCGTCCATCTCTCTCACACTGAGAGTCCAGCAGCCTAAAGGTTCTGGATGGTTCAGCTTGGGCTTTTGCGGAGAGATGGAGCCAGAGGGAGGGTGCCCAGCCTGGAGGAGGGAGTCCCCATGATGCCCACTCCCTTTCAACAAATGTCTTGAGCTTTGTGCAAAACGTTGTGTTCGCTACAGAGAGCAAAGAGGAGCTTAAATCTGATATGAGGCCCCACACAGGGGCTGGAGCACGGTGGTGGAGGGGAGGTGTGGAAGTTTCAGGAGCAATCATGAGTTGAGAATCTACTATGCACTGTATCCAAACAGGAGGCCTCACTGACATGATCTCCTTCTGATTGCTTTGCAGAAAAGGAAGCTGAGGTTGAGATGCTAAGTCATTTTACAGTCATGGTTAGTGATGAAACTGGGATTCAAGCCCAGGGCTGGTAGCAGAGCCCCTGCTCCTGACCTTCCAGAAGCCGGCACACACATCTGTGCCAAAACCAGGTCAACGCAGCAAATGTCAGGGCAGGGGTACAAGGGAGAGAAGGCTGGGGAATCAGAGGAGGAGGAGTTATGAAGAGGGGTCTTCTCGATGGGCCTGGTCCTTTGAGGGTCAGACAGACTGCCTGGCTGTCTGTTCATTCGTTCCCTCCCTTGGAGGAGAGGTCTACGCCATGCCTGGCCTACAGGGGAGCCACATGCAATGAGTCTAAGGGGGAGACCGACAATAATCAGGCTGTGACTAACACAGCATGGTATGGCCTGGGATGTGGTTTGGGGTCCGTAGGAGGGAAGGGGAGGCACACACAACTCCTCACCTGGGGGTGATTCCACAGGCCCCAGACCATCCTATCTGGGCCCGTAATACAGCTGGTGGCAACCCTGCTGGGGCCCTGCCCAGCGACAGGGCAGCCTCTTTCTCCTCTGTGTTCAGCCCTCCGCAGCTCAGAGACGTTGAGTAACTTACTCCAGGGCACACAGCTGAAGCCCACCCTGGTGGTTTCCACAGCCCTGCTCCCTCTGCGGCCAGCCCCGCCTCTCTTCTTAGGACAGTTCCCTGCCGCTGACCCGGAGGCCGCCAGCTCCTCCTGCTGCCTTCTGGGCACAATGTTCCGGCTCCCAAGCCTGGGTGTGGACACAGCAGAGACCACAGTGGTGGCTGGGCAGTGTGAGTTCCCTGGGCAGACAGTGTATGCTTGCAAAGCTCCCCAGAACATTCGGAGCCGCCTCCCAGAGAAGAGACCACGGGGGCCTCTTGGGAGGCCTTTAAACTGCATAGTCGGCTTGGAGATAGTCAGCTCGCCACACTGGCTGCTTGCCCTCTTTGCCTTCTTTTTCTTATTTGCATCAGGGAAAGCTGGGGCCTGCCATCCAGAGCAGGAAGTCTCCACAGGGGGTTGGCTGAGCTGTGGGTCTCCCCCTGGTGCCTAAAAGCTGGCCCCTCCCTGGCGAGGGGGCCCACGGAGAAGCGGCAAGAGGGCTGGGCCCTGCCACCTCCTGGCCTGCTCCTGTGTTTGCTCCTGCCTCACCACCCCGTGACATTCGTCCCCCTGCTCTGAAGCCAGCCCTGGCAGCTCCTTTCAAACCCCCAGAGAGAAGCAAAGCCCAGAGGAGGCGGTTCTTTGTTAGGGACTCCGTTCCCAGGCCTTTGATCTCCCAGGCTTTCTGCTGGGCCTGGCGGGGTTGGCCCCGTTCGGGGGGTTTTTGCACCCCTTGCCCCCCGGTTCCTTGTTGGGCTTTTTTTTTTGGGCCTTGGCCCTTGAAGTTCCTTGATTGTTGCTTGTTGGGGGGGCCTTTTTCCGTTTTTTGGGGCAAAGGACCCTCCCCCTGGAGACACAATGGAGAGAGATGAGTGGGAGGCCCGGGCCTTTGTGTGGGAGAAACGAGCGCTAACTGAGCCAGGCCTGGAAACCTGGGAAACTGGAAAGGTAGAAATGTGGGCCTGTCCTCTGACAAATCGGCCTGTTTGTTGTTTTTTTTTTTAAAGATTTCATTATTTTCCTCCTCACCCACGACTCCTTCGGCCCAAGAAAAGTGACACTTTTGGAAGGAAGGACACACATGCTCATTCCATCACGTCCTGGGACTCATTTTTTTCTCTCTGAAGCAAGCCCTGCATATCCATGGGGTGAGGCTTAACTCTCAGACCCACTGGCCTGACCGGCAGGAAGGGAGTCCACCCGTGAGTCCCCAGCTCAACCTGCCTGAGCCCGTGAGCACAGGTGGGGAGCCCCTAGGCGGCCACTTCTCCGGCTCTGGTCACCTACCCCGCGTGGTGACCCTGGGGACAATTCTTACCAATGCAGTCTGAGGTCACGATGGCGTGCATCCCCAGAATCTGGTAGGATGACTACATGCCCAGTGCTTGCTCAGGGCCTGGAAGGTGACAGGCGCTTTGAGATGCCGGACCCAGCAGCCCCTTACCCCTCCCACCGTCAGGCCCAGAGGGGATGTGGGAAAGGCCTCCCGAGATTTCTCACGTCCACTGCCTCGGCCCAGTCTCTCTCTACCTCAGCTGGCTGTCACGACAGGCAGCCACCTCTTCCACAGACAGGGGAGAAGCCTCTGTTCAACTGAGGGAAGACTGAGCCCCAGAGAGTCCTCTCTTTATCTAGAAAGGGGCGTCCTCCATAAGGAAGGGCGCTGTGGTGGCCATTTTAGCTTCTGGTGTCCAGGGGTTGGGGATGACGTCCTGGCCCCGGATACCTCTGGCACTAAGGACCGCGTGGACAAGGAATGCCGCCTGCCATACCACTAAACAAAGGATGCCCTGGCCACCAAGCCAGCAGCCACTCTGGACTGTGTGCCCTCGGAGGAATCAGGATGGAGAAGAGCAGGATGCCAGGCCTAGACGTTAGGGTGCGCATCAAAGGACTCTGGGATCGACGTGTGCACGCTGCTATATTCCAAATGGATAACCAACTAGGACCTACTGTATAGCATAGGAACTCTGCTCAAGGTTATGTGGCAGCCTGGATGGGAGGGCAGATTGGGGGAGGATGGATATATGTGTATGTTTGGCTGAGTTCCTTTGCCATTCACCTGGAACTATCACAACATTGTTAATTGGCTATACTCCAATATAAAATATACTCCAATATAAAAGTTTTTTTTAAAAAGGCGTGATTTCAATGAGCCCAGACTCGCATCTTCCCATATGTAGAAAAGCGCTAAATTCACGAACTTGCGATATCTATTTTTCTCTAATTGATAGGATTCTCTCGTTGGAATAACAATATTCCAACTACCTGGTCTTTTTTGCAAAAACTTCTATATATCCGAGCCTCCCCCTCCCCTCTTTGGAACAGTCCTCCAGAGCAATCTGACAGGCTGTCTTCTGTGCTTAAGTACTTAGGTTGTCCATTGACTAAAACATAATTCTCAGTTTTTAGGGTGTACATTTTTTTCAGTCGACAACTGAGAAGGAAGGACCAGCTTCTCCGCGGTTCCCCAGCGCCATCCGTCACCTCTTGGAGCTGACAGGGCAGGTGGGGAGCGAGTGGAGTGCGGGAGAACAGTTGGCCAAGGGCAAAGAGCTGGGGGCTTTGAAAGCCTGTGTCCAACAGCCAAGCGACCTTGACCTCCGTTTGCCTCACCTGTGAATGGGAACATGTTATCCAGCCCAGCCTGCACAGTGCCCAGCCTGTGGTCCATGTCCCAGGGCTTCCCCTGCCATCAGCCACTCTGCAACTCTAAAGCTCTCTCAGTTCCTCAAACGATGCACCCTCCTGCTCCCCACCTGCCTCCCCATAACCGCAAAAGCCTCCCAGAGATCTTTCCCTTTGCCTGGTCAATGTTCCCTCCCCATTGATTCTCAGCCAACTTGTATCCATCCTCCGGGCCCCTTTGCAGGGATCACCTCCTCCAGGGTGTCTTCCCTGACTGCCCAGTCCAGGTGCAGTCCTCTGCTGTGGGCCCTGGACTCCCCTCTGGGAGCACTTGTACTCTGATGAGTCATCATCTCGTGTTTGTGACTTCCTCATTGGTCCCTGTGCCAGAGGGCAGGGGTGGGTCGGTTTTGTCACAGATATCACCTGCAGCACCTCACAAGATGCCAAGGACAGGCTCTTCTAAGTACACATTTGTTGAAATAATAATATAATAAAAAAAGTAATCAAAAGAACATCATTTCCTCCCCTCTTGGGCTCTACTGTGACAACGCCCAGAGACAAGGACCGTCCTTGGCACAAGAATAAAACCTCAGGCCTTTGATTACAATTTGATGACAGTATATATTAGTCTTATTATAGCTGAAAAGTTGAAGGCATCCCCTCTTAGACTGAGTCCTCACTGAACAAACTTCCAAATCTACTCGTGTTCCCGGCTCCTGGTCCAGCAGATGGTGGGGTCCCTGCCATGGCCCGGCTAACCCGCTGGCATGTTGACATCTCTCTGGATCCTCCCACCCCAAACTCAGGGGCCAGCTGGCCTGCCCAGTGCAGGAAGGTGGCGCCCAGCCCTCCTCACAGGGAGGGTAGGGTACTGTTTTCCTTTAGCCGGCTTTTGCCAGCTCCTGGGTGGAATCAGGGAAGGAGGGAGGGAGGGAGGGAGGGTGGAGGACCAGGCAGGCAGAAGACTGGGGCCAGCACCCTCAGATTTGTGGTGACTGTGGTTAAACCGGTGTCTCCAGAGAAACATGAAGGGGCCCTAAAAACTGCGGCAAGCCCTGCTTTCTTCTGCAGACGGGAGGCCCGGGAAGGGGCGGGAAGCTTGCTGGAGGCTGCTCCTCCCCTCTTTTCTTTGAAGCTCAGCTCTGTCTCCATTCAAGCAAGAAGAGGGGATAGAAGGTTTCAAATTCGGGAAATCCCTTTCCACCTCTGCACCTGTGTGTTGCTGCTGGTCACCCAGCTGTGGGTACCACCCATCCATCCAACAAATAGTTTCTGACTGTCTACTCTATGCCAGGGCTTCCCAGGTGGCATAGTAGTAAAGAATCTGCTTGCTAATGCAGGAGATGCAAGAGATGCAGGTTCAATTGTTGGGGTCGGGAAGATCCCCTGGAGTAGGAAATGGAAACCCACTCCATTGCTGGGGCAGAGGAGCCTGATGGGCTATAGTTTAGGGGTCACAAAGAGTCAGACGTGACTTAGCAACTGAGTATGCACACATACTGTATTGCCAGGCACCAGCTTGGCTGCTGAAGTTAGAACCACAAACCAAAAGTTCCTGCATTGGGGGGGAGGGTGCTTCCATTTCAGACAGTAACTAAGGAATACCTTTTATGATAGTCTACAGCTATTTCCCCATCTAGACCGTAGTCTCACTGAGAGAAGGAACAGACCCATTTCATCTCTAGATTCTCCGGGGTGACTAGTACAGAGCCTGAATTTTAGCTTGGCAGCCACTGAAAGAGGCCTCAGTGGGATTTGTCCCCCAGCCCAGGAGCCCCTGTCTTGCACGTGCAGGCTCTGGCGGTACCTACAGGAATGCAGTGGGCAGCCAGCAGCTGATCTCCAGCCACACACCCGGTAAGCTGGCCTCACGTTTTCATCCATTCTCAAAAGGAAATTCATCACTGGGGGTTCTTCCAGTCATGAGGGGGTGGGCTGCAGTCAGGCATGGTTTTTGGTATCAGATACAGGAAAATTAACACTGCAAGCACCACAACAGATCAAAGCCATGGATCAAAGGTGTGAATCAGACAAGCACCACCACAGAAGTTCGGTATCAGTTTGGAATCGCCAAGCGGGGAGGTTACTGCAACCACCAGGCCAGAGGGAAACACGAGCAGTGAGCATGCAGAGGTCTGCAGGGCCCACGTGGGAAGCAAAGGGCTTGGCAGATCATCAGGGCTCAGGGAAATATAACTGGTACCAGTCACCGAGGCTCCTGGCAGCTTGAGAGCCAGCGCCCTTACCCAATGCGTACGTGGGGCCTGAGAGGCCACGGTCCTCGCTGATGGCAAGGAAGGGAGAAACCACCTGCTTCACCAGCTCCTCCAGCTGCAAATAACCCTCACTTGGGCCTGTGGGCTCGTGAACACTCTGGAAATAAACACCCAAGAGAGACAGAGGTCAGTCCAAGTCACCATGGCCAGCGGATTCTGGCTGCCCTCCCCCTACATTCAAGGCAGGCTGTATCCTTGTGGCTGAATGAAGGAAACCCAGTCTTGGAGCCCCAGGCACTGGTCCTGGGTGGCGGTGATCAGAACTGTGCATGGAGTGCACCCTGGCCTCTGCGGTGGGATCCTGTCCCAAAGCAGGGCCAGCGGGACTGTCCCCACCCCAGCTCCAGGGCTGAGGTCTGACTGGTCCCAACCACAGCCAGCTCATCCTCTCCGCCACAGTAACTGTTCCACACCAGGCACACAGGAGCTTTATAGAAGCACTTTATATGTTTCATAGCACCTGCCAACAACGCTCACCATCCCCCCTTTCAAACACAAGGAAAGTTAAGACTCGGAAAGCTTATGTAACTTGCCCAGGAAAATACAGCTGGTAAGTGGCCAAAACCCGGGACTGGCACACAAGCTGCCTGGCTCTGAGCCCATTTTACTGCTCCTTGTTAACAGGCTAGAAAAGAAAGGGGGAGAGAATCTGGAAAAGACCAGAACGGTAGAAGAAAGGGAGCATCACTGTGGACTAGACACGCATTTAGTACCAAGATGAAGGGTCAGTTCAAAAGGACAGGAGTCCTTGGAGCTACAAGGAGCTGGAAAGTCATTGAGGTTTTCTAGAAAACCAGCTAACTCTGAAGGAATTCAATTTCTTACTGGAAAGGTGTGGAAGCCATGTGTTTGTGTGGAGGGTGTGCAAGAGAGCAAGGCTTTTGTGAATGCTGTGCTCAGCCCAAAGGGCCAGCTGTCAAAATCTCAAAGCAGAATAGATTTTAAATCACTCTCGTTTGAAAAGAGAAAACTCTCCCCTGCACTGAAGTTTAGGAGCTGGGGCCAAGAAGCGGGAGGGGCCAGTCCTACAGGTTGGATGGAGACCCCTGGGTGAAGTGCAGGCTCCAAGGAAACTGGCTGATGTGGTAGCTTGTCAGCTCCATCACAGTGAGATGGAGGCGGCTGGGGGCAGTGGGAGGGAGGGGTGGCTTACTGAAACCAAAAGGAAGGCCGAGGAGGGGGCTATGAGGCAGAAGACTTGGCGGTCAGGACCAGGAAGGGGTCAGAACTGATGCAGAGGAAATGGGAGCGGGGTGGTCTGGCACTTGAGGGGGCTGCTAATGGGAGAAGACCTGACGGTTCTTCATGTCCCTCAGCAATAGCAGAAGCACTGGGAAAGGCCAGCAAGATGCCTCGCTTGATACTCCACAAGGACCTACTGTAGGGCACAGGGAACTTTACTCAGTACTCTGTAATAACCTACATGAGAAACTGACCTGAAACATAAGAGAGTCATGTACATGTGTAACTGAATCACTCTGCAGTACCCCTGAAAGTAACACAACACTATACATCAACTGTACTGCAATATGAAACAAAAATTAAAAAAACAAAAACAGGTGGAATTTCAGAACTACCAAAATGTGTACTGTGCTAAGTCACTCAGTCGTGTCCGACTCTGCAAACCATGGATTGTAGCCTGCAAGGCTTCTCTGCCATAGAATCCTCTGGGCCAAGAATACTGGAATGGGTTGCGATTTCCTTCTCCAAGGGATCTTCCCAACCTAGGGATCAAACCTGGGTCTCCTGGGTCTCCTGCCTGGGCAGGTGGTTTCTTTACTACTAGCAATACAGTGGCGCCCCATTCCAGTACTCTTGCCTGGAAAATCCCATGGACGGAGGAGCCTGGTGGGCTGCAGTCCATGGGGTCACTAAGAGTCGGACACGACTGAGCGACTTCACTTTCACTTTTCACTTTCATGCATTGGAGAAGGAAATGGCAACCCACTCCAGCATTTTTGCCTGGAGAATCCCAGGGACGGGGGAGCCTGGTGGGCTGCCGTCTATGGGGTCCCACAGAGTTGGACACGACTGAAGCGACTTAGCAGCAGCAGCAGCAATATAGTATTACAAAAACTTTTCTTTGTTAAAAAAAAAAAAGTAACTATCACAACTAGCTACAGAATTACATGTTGAGAAAAGAAAGGCTTCACTTAGAAAGGCACAGGAGACTCTCCACAAGGGTGAGGGGATCCTCAGGGGGCAGAAGGAAGAGGGGAGCCTTATTCATGCTCCCAGAGACCCACCCGCAGCCTCAAAAGTAGAGCGGTTTCAGCCCCAAAACCATCTTGGTTGGGTTTCAGAGCTAAGGACACTTTTATCTCATTTTTTTCACACCTTGATATTTCTCATCTGCCTTCTCCCCACAAGACTCTTCCGCTCTATGATTCCTAAGCGCTAAACAAGAGAGGGATGCAGAGCGAGGAGAAGAGGCAAGAAGTGGGAGGAAAATTCTGAGCTGCATGGTTTTCTCCCTGGGCAGAGAACCAGACTTGCACACAGCCCTCTGGGAAGGAGCTGCCCTTGGCTTGGCTGCTGCGCTGGCTATGTATTTGCAAGGCTCAGCACAAGATGAAAATGTGGGGTCCCTTGTTCAAAAATTAAGAATTTCCAGATGGTGATGAAAAGTGAAAGTGTTAGTTGCTCAGTCTTGTCTGACTCTTTGCGACCCTATGGACTGTAGCCCGCCAGGCTCCTCTGTCCATGGGATTGTCCCGTCAAGAATACTGGAGCAGGCAGCCATTCCCTTCTCCAGGGGGTCTTCCCAACCCAGAGATGGAACCCGGGTCTCCTGCATTGCAGGCAGATTCTTTATCATCTGAGCCATCGGGCGAAGAGAATTAAACCCAGCATGGGATCCTGCTGGTGGGGGGGAGCGGGGAAGGACCCTGAGGCACCGGCCAGCAGGGGGCACACCAGCTTGATTGGGCGGGTCCCCTCAGAAGGGACCATTCTGGCACAGTCTCAGACCTGCCTGCGCCTGCCAGGGAGAACGGGTCTCCAGGGTGGTCAAAGTCTCTGGTTCAGCCTCTTCCTGGACAGCCTAAGGATAGGACCTCACAACCCATGGGAGGAAAAGTTGAGCCCCTTGTATGTTTTGAGGAGGGAGGGGTTGGTTCAGGGCCATGTTGGAAATGCACTGGGAAAGAGAAATGGCTCTTCTCTCTGTGGGAGAGGTAGGCAGGGAAAAACCAGCCCTAGATCTCTTGCCGCTGTGGACAGTGGGGGGCCAGGCAGAGAAAGCAGCAGTTCTAGCTACTGGGGCTCAGCTTCCCTGCGGCGGGGATGGTCTGAGGGCAGTACAACCTGCACGTTTCCTTTAGATTCAGAAGCTGCCACCCCTGCCACCCAGACTTAGTCCTGGGCTGGGGAAAGACCGCCTTTGCCATTGTCACACCCCCAGCCTCTGGCTTCCTGGCTCCTAGAGGGTAGAAGAATGTGTCCCAGGAGGCCCTCAGGGAAATGATGTCAAATTCCCCTTGTTAAAGGGACCATCACTTGTGGGGCAGCTCCAGGTGTCCTGGGAGACGGCGGGAGGAGAGGGACCTTGACAGTGCTCGCTGCAAGCACAGCAAATGGACAAAGGAGCTGGAACGTGCCCGATGACACTAGAGGACACGGAACCGAGCCAGGGTGCTCCAGCCACAGGGGCCCTCGCCCACGCCCCGTCATGCTCCGTCGCGCCTCACCTGCAGGACGAGCAACATCTGGACGATGGACGAGGGCAGCTGGGGCTGCGCCAGCAGCAGCAAGTCCTCCAGCTTCACCTTCAGCAGCACCAGGTCGCGGAAGCCCAGCAGGGAAATCTGGCGGATGGTCAGCTCCTGGCCCTGGCGGGACAGAAGAGGCAGCGGTGGGAGGTGAGAGCGCGTGGGACCTGCCACCAACCACGTGGGGCCGGGGCCACGATCGGAGGGGTGGGACCAGCACCTCCAAGGCCCAGGGGGGCTGTCGAAGAGTAGAATATTTGACCCCTGTTCCTTCAGAATGAAAGCTTCGTTTAAGATATGGTATGACTCATGGGTTTGAAAAGATCCATGCACCCTAATATTCATAGCAGTGTTATTTACAATAGCTGTGACATGGAAACAAGCTAAATGGCCACAGGCAGGTGGCTGGATAAAGAAGATGTGTACACACACACACAACAGAATACTACTCAGCCAGAACAAGAATGGAATTTTGCCATTTGCAACAACAAGGATAAATCTGGAGGGTATTTATGCTAGGTGAAATCAGTCAGAGAGATAAAGACAAACGCTGTACCTTATCACTTACAAAACAAACTAATGAATATAACAAAACAGAAACAGACTCAGAGAATAAACTAGTAGTTACTAGTGAGGAGAGGGAAGGGGGCAGGGGTAACATAGGGGTAGACGATGAACAGGTACAAGCTACTAGGTATAAAGTAAATAAGCTACAAGGATATATTGTACAGCACAGGGAATATGGCCAATATCTTACAATAACTTCAAATGGAGTGCACTCTATAGAAACATTGAATCACTGTGTTGTAAACTAATATTGTATCATTGTAAATTAATACTGTAAATCAATTATACATCAATAAAAAAAGTAAATGCTGAAATGCTCAATCTGCTTAAATGACCCAAAGGTGATACAAGACACATATATTGAGGGTCGTGCTGTGCTGTGAGTGGTCAGGAAGGAGAAAGAGGAGGAGAAACAAGAGGAAAGATAGCACCTCCCTACACTCAAGGCTGTGTCCTCAGCTTCATCCATTAAATATTTGTGAACCTATCATATGCCAGGCAAAGAAGGAAATACAGGATCTGTTAAGACCCTTCTGCAAATGCAGGTAACATAGGAAGAAAAATCACTGAAGATGTAGAAGAAAATGACTTGTTCAACCATGTAGATAGCGGCTGAGGATGAAAACAGTGACTGATAATCGTAAGAGCTGATCCTCATGTTAGGAGGGCTAAGTAAGACCCTTATCTCTGACCATATGCTGGGCTTGATTCTCAATATGCTAGATATAAATGGCACATTTAATCCTCATGACCACTTCTGAGATAGATACTGTAATAAAACCCAATCCACAGAAGAAAAACCCTATACCCAGACTGACAGGAATTTACTCAAGGTAGAGCTGGATCTCAAAGATAAACTATTTGATAGGTCCTACAATTTCTATTCTTTGCACCACATCTTAGCACTCATCACTGATTGCCTGTCTCATAGGTGTCTATGCCCTTGCTTCTTCTCCAGGACTCCATTCACTCTATAAGGTAGAAAAAGGCAGGCAAGTTTCCACACTCAAACACCTTTATCCAGTGAGGAAGCAGGTCTCACACAGACACTTACGCAGCAAGTTAGTGTCTAGACTAACAGACACCCCGAGGGTGTTATTACCAGTAGTGAGAGCCCAGGGGTTCTCCAAGTGGGGTATTTGCATCAGAAGCAGCACTTGGGAAATTGTGGGCGGGAGAGGTAGATGGGGCAACAGCATATGTTGCCACATCTTGCAGTTTTTCTCTCTTTTTTTTGACACAGTAACAGATTTTATTTTCTTGGGCTCCAAAATCACTGTGGACAGTGACTGCAGCCATGAAATTAAAAGATACTTGCTCCGCAGTTCTTCTTTAAAAAAAAAAAATTTTTTTTTTTTTTACTTAATTATTTAGCTGCTCTGGGTCTTAGTTACAGCATGCACAATCTTCACTCTTCATTGCTGCATGCAGGGATCGTTAGCTGTGGCATGTGAATACTTAGTTGCGGCATAAGGGATCTAGTTCCCTGACCAGGGACTGTATCCTGGCCCCTCACATTAGGAGCATGGAGTCTTAGCCTCTGGACTACCAAGGAAGTCCCAGATCTCACAGTTTTTTAAGAGAAGCAGGACAGTGTCATCCTCAGATTCACACAACTGGGCTCCTGCCTGAATCTGGGGCTAAGGGAGCCCTTCTTGACCCTCTAATACCAGAGCCAAGCCCCTCAGCTTCCTCACTTCCCACTCTAACTCCATCTAGTGGGGAATTCCCTGGCAGTCCAATGAGTAAGTCTCTGAGCCTCCACTGCAGGGGGCGAGGGTTTGATCCCTGGTCCCCTGGTCAAGGAACTAAGATCCTGCATGTCTTGAGGCACGATCAAAAAAAGAAAATACCCATCTGGGTATCTCTATCTGGGAATTCCCTGCCTACACAGTCCTAAGAGGGACCTACGTCTATACCCCTTCTCCACTAGGGCTGCCAAATAAGCCAGAGGCTGTCCAGTTACATTTGAATAACTTTCTAGTATAAGTACGTCCCAAATATTGCATTGTTCATTGTTCACCTGAAATTTAACTCAGCATCCTGCAGGTCAATTTGCGTTATCTAGCAACCCTGCCTCCCAGGCGTGTCATCTTAAGACCCACTGCTGGCCAAGGAGTGAGTATTGCACCAAAGGGAAAAGTCTATAGACTCAGAGGGTGAGCCATCCAAAGAAAGGCTATAAATCCTCTCGTGGGGCGCAGTGGGGAGCCAAGGATGGGATGAAAAGAGCAGTGGGCTGCAGTCCACACACTTCTACTGGAATTGTTAGGGGCAAACTGGAATTGGAAAATGGGACTCTAAAGGTATAATCTCCTGATTTTAAAATATTTGACATGTATTTTTAAAAATCCAGAATTCCTTTAAAACAGCATTCAGAGCAAACAAAGCCCGTGGGCCCTTACCTCCGGTACAAGGTAATTCCTACCAATGGCTTCACATCTAATCTAACCTGATTACATGCGAACCTTAACCCCAATGGGAAGAGCTACTGTGGGCACACAGCAACGGAAGCGTATGACAGACACGTACACTTTGGAGAAGAACATCTAGTGGTTAGTCTGCCTGAGGGCGTGTCCCTTCTGACCAACCCTGTTCTCGGCCCCTGCAGGAGGGAAGAGGGAAACCATCACAGGGTAGAAATGAGCTGAGCTCGCGGAATAAGCAGCAGAAGAGAGGCTGTTGTCTCCTGCTCTAAACTCGTCATTCCGCAGGAGATGAAACGCAGCCAAGCTCAGAGACGGGAACGAGTTTGCCCATACTCAACTACGGATTCCCAGTCCGCAGTTCTTTCTGCTACATCATGGGCCTTCTCATCTTCAGGAAATCGCTTATAGAGGGCAAGGAACACTACTCCTTTCCCGGAATTTGGGAGTCACAGGAAACTTGCCAGACAACTGTGCGTCAAAGAAAGTGGGGAGGGGAAAAAAGGAAAGAAAAGGGGAAAAAGTCTCCTTCCCCCATCTTCCCTTACTTCTGAAAAGTAAGAAGCAACAAACCACTCTAAGAAGATACAGACATACTCAAAACCAAGAGGGAAAGGAGAGCCTACAAATTGCTATGTATGCAGGCACTGTTTGCTGCTTGAGGTCAGATGCTAAATATAGAACAGAGTGCCCTCCAAAGATGGCCGAGGTCCTAATCCAACTCAGGCAGTGCCCAGGCTCCTGGCTTTCCCCCATTCGCTGGCAGGCCCCAGGGGGACACCAGTCAAGGAGTAAGACAGACTGCCCAGGCCGGCAGGAGGTCGTTCCCCAGTGAGACTGACCTGAACTGGATAGAATATGGCCTGCAGGGTGGGGAGAGTCTCAGTGAAGAAGTGGTCCCAGACTTCAGCCAGAACCTCAATGCGATTTTCACCTACATGAGGGCGAGAAGATGGGAGGGGAGAAAGAAAGAAAAGAATGTGGTCATTACTCACAGGAGTGGTTGGGAGGCAGTTCCTAGTCAAATGGAGCACAGGCGGGGATGTTGTGGGGGAAAGCTCATAACCTACATTGGATCTCTAAGTGACTACAGCAAACATGGAATTGGATGGGAAGATGATCAAGAATATGCAAATATGCCTTCTCTCCCTTCATCCACAAAAGGGAGCTGAATTTTGAAAAGCACATAATAATTACAGTCATCATGAGAATGGTTACAACATGATCAGGCCCTGTGCTAGACTATTTATCTATAAGCAATCTCATGAACGGACGCTATTACCCTGCTTTACAGCTCAGACGTGCCAGGTATCTGGGCTCAAAGGAACACAGGTAGAAGGCCAAGCTGGGATTCCAGAACCCATGTTCTTGTCAATAGAATCCAGCAAGATCAAGTGCACAGTTATATATTATCTTTTTCTTTTTTTTGCAATCATTAAGACCCTGGTTTTTCAGTCTAGATTTGAGCTATCACTTGAGAAAGATGGAAGGAAGACTTAGAAACTATCACCTCCACCCACTAGACTTAGAAACTATCACCTCCACCCACTGTAACCGGAAGGGCATTACTCTCTGAATGGTCACCTGCAAAACACAGCCACCACCTGACGCCGTGTCTATCCACACCCCTGGGATCAGGAAGCCCGAGTCCTGGCCAAGTGTGTCCCCCAGGCTAGCTGGACACAGATCACCCAACACCGGAAGGCTGTTTGAGGAACTTTGCACCTGTAGGAAAGGCAGGCACTGGCCGAGGGGAGTCTGCACGGCGGCTGCTGTTTAGTGACCTAGATAACAGAGCTGACTGGGAACTGTCTCTGCCCAGCTGAGGCAGGGAAACTGGGTCGGCCAAGATTAGACACTGAGAGATGCGTCTGGCAACACGTTGCCAGATCCACTGAACAGATCTTGAAAGATTCACTTAGCGATGTCCATCTATTAGTTTAATGGACAACAAAAGCAGTGGCTGGGAGAGAGAACAGAATGAAGCCATGACTTTAGCTGGCAGGACCAAAGATGTGCCGATTTTAAAAGGTCAGAGTGAAATACACCAGAATGCAAATCCATAACACCCTCTACTCTCCTTTGTAATTAGCCAAGAACTAATTACACTCTGTTGGAATCACTCATTCACTTCTCTGTCTCCTCCACTAGAACGGGAATAAAGGCACCGGCCTTGTCTTCCTGCTCACCGTTCTATTTCTAGTGCTTAGCATGGTGCCAGACACATTGGTAATTCACTGTTTGGAAATCTTTGATTGAATGAATGGGAAGTATTGAGTGTACAGGTTTCTGTAAATGCCAGGGCTGGTGAGTGGGAGGAGGTTACCTTTTAACCCAAATATGGGACAGGACAGGGAAGGCAGGACTTAACAGTCAGCTCCAACATTTTCCTTTGCTCTTAGATAAAGAAAACCACACCATGGCAACCCGGCTGGGGAGAGTCTGTTTCCTGCTTCTGTATCTTCATCCTCTTCTGAATTCCCCTTCTATGTGAATTTTATTTTAGTCCCTTATACTCACATCCTCCCTCCACGCCACAGGGCTTTTGCACATGCTAGTTCCTTTGTCAAGACTATTCTCTGCCTTCTCTCTTTGCCTAACCTACATCTGTTTATCTTCATAAACTGATGAAGTGTTCATCTTCTTCATAGCTTCACTTCCACAGGAAAGTCTCCCCCATTGGTCAAACTCCCCTGTTATGAATTGTATTCTTGGTACTTGTCTCAATTATGGTTTTATATTTGGTGGTGATTTGATTAATACATGTCTCCACTACCAGGTTGTGAGCACCTTCAAGACTCGTAATCCTATGAAGTTTTGCTCATCACTGTGTTCTTGGCACCTAGCAAAGTACCTGGTATAGTAGATAATCAATAAATGTCTGAATGAATCAATCAGTCACCATCCTCTTTTCAAAGGCAGGTTTGCTAGTTCACTGCAGGGAGGAGCCAGGAAATCAAGAGGACAGTCTGAAACATTAGGTCATGCTGGTGCCTAAAACCAGCATGGACCCCAACACTTGGACAGAATCTCTCAAAGGAGAAAAGGCTGTGCCAGCTCCTTTACTGACGGCCCTTACCCTGAGCCTTCCATCACAGAGACAAGCAGAGGCCCTGCCGACTAGAAGGATGGGACAGAAAAGCCTGCTGCTCAGTGCTGCTCCTACTTTCTCCCCTTCAGGTCCCAGACGGAATACTCATGGCACATGCAGTCATCATTCAACCCGGCGACAGGAAGGTGCCTCTCCTGGGCACCTGGGTCTAATTGTCGGCTGTAAACTTCAGAGAGGAATGGAGGTTTTGGAAAGTGTTCAGAGAAGAACATCAGAGAGACAAGCTAAACAGAGTAGCCTGGGGAGAAAAGAGTTAATGGGAGGAGGTGACTCCACCTCCAAGAAGAGCCCCCAAGTCGAGGGCTTAGTCCTCTACAAAGATGAAAGGGGTCTGCATGGAAGCTTCTATTAAAAACTATCTTATTTAAAACTGTCCTCTAATTGCCACAGAGGTTTAGATCACCAGAGGTATACAGAATAAGTCTGAGAAATTCTTCCACAGTCACTAAAGCTCTAGAAAAGATTACTGATACTAACAAGGCATATTCTGCCTACAAAAGAGAACCACAGAGCTAGGGGCTGCCTCTGTCCCTTCTGCAGTCAGGATGGATGAGTACAAGCCAGGTTATTCAATGATGGATTCCAAACTTGATTTTATAGCAAAACACTTTCATCCAAATAAAATCTTTCTTGGAGTTATAACATACAAAATTAACATGCAGAGATGTTCTGGTTGAAGATGTAAGAGCACCTTCACTGTTCAGAAAGGACCCTGCCACCTAACCCCCAGGACAAGAAGGGACCCAACAAGAACATCCTGACCCACTGCCCTCCAGCTGCACTTTGGAGCAGAAACACAGACACTTGGATGCCCTTGTTTCTCCTATCAAGCTCTGTGCCTGAATTTTCACTCTGAATGTAGCTATGTTGAGTGTCACCCGGGCGAGAGACCATCAACTTTCCCTTTTAAGGGCCCTTGAATCTCTGGTTTTGCTCAGGATCTTGTTCTAACTCTGGTTATCCACATTTCCAGGAGCATGAAATAACTCTCCAAATGACTTACAATGTGGTCAAAGACCTGGAAGCCACCCACCTTTCATGCCTGGGGTACTAGCCTCACTCCAAAATGCAAAAAGGCCATGAAGCTCTCAATGTAATTGCATTCGAGGGAAACAAGGCTGTAGGTTCAGTCAACTCTTGAGTAGACAGGTTAATTTGGAACCTCTGGTTTTTGCAGTTTTGGTGAGCACTCACTGTGTGCCGGACCCTGGGACTTTCCAGGGTCAGTTTCTCATTTTTCTTCCTATTTTGTCTTTCTAGAAGACACGACACTGTACACAAGTGTCTTTCCCAGAGAAGGGGAAGAGAAAAAGAGATGGTCTACTGCCTAATGCGTCTGAATCTAGAAGTAAACTTGACCAACAGATAGAAGTCTCGAGGCTGGAGAAGGAAAAAAAAAGGAACCAGTGTGCATACCTACTATGTGCCAGGGACAGCGCTATGCTGGTTCTACTCCTTACATCCCCTATAACCCCTAGGTCCATTTTACCATTTTAAAAATTATTGGAAAAATCAAGACTCAAAGAGGTGAGAAACTCACTAAAAGTCACCCAAGAAGTAGGTGGCAAGCTACAGTCAGGATCCACGTTGACGGGAGCTGACAGTAACCATCAGCGGAGCCAAAGGGTCTATTGGCCAGCTCTTGCCTTCATCCCAGCTCCCAGCTCCCAGCTCCATTCAATGCCTTTCTATCGGTTAGACTCCAGAATCTTTTAAGGCTGGGAAAATGTTCTTTTGCTTCTTAAATCTTACCCCACTGAGTGGGTGCCTGCTTAGTCTCCCTCAAATGAGTGGACCACCTGACAGATACGACCTCAAGAAACAGTGAAAGTCTGCTCAGTCTTGTCTGACTCTTTGTGACCCCATAGACTGCAGCCTGCCAGGCTCCTCTGTCCATGGAATTCTCCAGGCCAGAATACTGGAGTGGGTAGCTGTTCCCTTCTCCAGGGGATCTTCTAGGCTGGAGAAGGAAAAAAAAAGGAACCAGTGTGCATACCTACTATGTGCCAGGGACAGCGCTATGCTGGTTCTACTCCTTACATCCCCTATAACCCCTAGCTCCATTTTATCATTTTAAAAATTATTGGAAAAATCAAGACTCAAAGAGGCGAGAAACTCACCAAAAGTCACCCAAGAAGTAGGTGGCAAGCTACAGTCAGGATCCACATTGACGGGAGCTGACAGTAACCATCAGCGGAGCCAAAGGGTCTATTGGCCAGCTCTTGCCTTCATCCCAGCTCCCAGCTCCCAGCTCCATTCAATGCCTTTCTATCGGTTAGACTCCAGAATCTTTTAAGGCTGGGAAAATGTTCTTTTGCTTCTTAAATCTTACCCCACTGAGTGGGTGCCTGCTTAGTCTCCCTCAAATGAGTGGACCACCTGACAGATACGACCTCAAGAAACAGTGAAAGTCTGCTCAGTCGTGTCTGACTCTTTGTGACCCCATAGACTGCAGCCTGCCAGGCTCCTCTGTCCATGGAATTCTCCAGGCCAGAATACTGGAGTGGGTAGCTGTTCCCTTCTCCAGGGGATCTTCTCAATCCAGGGATCGAACCCAGGTCTCCCACATTGCAGGTGGATTCTTCACCATCTGAGCCACCAGGGAAGCCCTGAGAAACAGTACAAAGGTCAATAGGAAATAGCCTGGATCAGACCAGAGGGAACAGGATCCACAATATAATGTATTCCTTCAAAGGTGACCCCTGGCAGCATCTTGTGAAACCCAGCCCTTAACGGGGTCTCCCAAGAGGCCACCCTAATTCCCCCTCATTTCTCAAACAGTCTGACTTGCACCGCCAGGAGTGGCTGACTCAAACTGAAACGCTGCCGCCTAGCTGGAGAAGAGGCGGCTGGGGTGACTCACGTGCTTGGAGCCTGCCTCTCTCAGACAGACTCATTTCAGCTGTCCAAGCATCAAAGGCTGAGTCAGAGTTCCCGCCAGACGGGGGCTGCCTTGTACTTGCCTTCACACAGCTTGATCTTCTCCTCCACGAACAGCAGTCCTTTTGCTAGAAGCTGGTTCTGCCGGAAGAGAACAGAGGACAGAGACTTCACTGCGTGACTAGCCCTTGTCCACTCCAGGCGGGTGAAGGCGTGGAGTTCTAGGCACTTGGACACTGTCATGCCTCCAGGCTAAAGATGCCTTCGGTCCTCTAGGAAGGCTGAGGCTTCGGGAGGAGTCAGTGAGGCAGCCCGTCACAGAGGAAGGAGACAAAAGCCAAACCCAACCAGCATTGCCATCTCTCCAACCAGGGAAGACGTGACCACAAGCTTGGCTGGACTGTCTGGAAGGACTAGGGTGGACACCCAATGTCCTTTGAGCCCTTCATGTAAACTCAGCAAGTGGAGCGTGGAGGCAGTGGGAAATTATGCAGAAATGATAGACTTTTTATAGAAGCTGATGATTTCTCAAGCTCGCATGAAAGAGACTGCCTGCAAAATTTTAAGCAGCAGTGAGGATGTGTCCCTCAGTGAGTGTGTGCATGAGAGAGCTGTGGGAAGACAGGGTAAGATGAAGTCCCTTTGCAAATGCAACGAACAACTGTTGGGTGTTTTGCATATGTCACAGGATATTTATTCTTCGTCTCATCTAATTCTGACCTTCCCAATAATCTGATCGAGTTGGTGCTATTACCCCCTGACTTTACTGATAGTCAGGGTAGACTTGCCCACAGGAGACAGACTCAATCTTCCTGGCTCCACCAGCCATGTTCTTTCTACTCTGCCTTGCTGCCTTCCAGCAGGTCTTCCCACCCAGATCCCCTTCTTCCCTCAAAAGGGTACAGCTGGTCCCACACAACACAGGCAGCTTTTCCAAAGGTCACAGAATCTCAGAGATGCCTCACCACTTACCTCACATCTTTAGATGATCAAAGGCCTATGCTTATGGCATGGGGGATTCACAGTGGTATACATCCTATCAAAAACCTATGCAGTTCTTGGTCTTCTCCTTTAGAAAACCCTGAAAACCCTGTTACCACGATGGTGAGAGCGTACATGGCAGAGAGGAAAGATCAGACAGGTGTTCAAGTCCAGCTCAGCCACTTTCTAGCTGTGTGATCTTGGGCTTCCTTTCCTGAGTCCTGAGCCCTTCATCTGTAAAATAGCATCACACCAGCAATATCATAAAGTTCTTATAATAATCATTATAAATATACACACAGGAACTTCCCTGGTGGGCCAGTGGTTAAGACTCCGAGCTGCCAATACAGTGGGCGTGGGTTCAATCCCTGGTTGGGGAACTAAGATTCCACATGATGTGCGGCACAGCCAAAAGATTAAATACACACACACATACATACGTACATGCACACACACATACACGCATATACACACACACACAAAGTAATCAGTGGTAATGGGCAGTGACGACAATAGTTGCTCTGTTAGCCCAACTATCTTCACAAAAGGACAGGCGGGTAAAGAGATTCAATAATGAATAGACCTACATCAAACATATTAAAGTAGTTTATCAAAGGCACTATCACATTCCTGTGACTAATACATATATATGGAATTTTATAGACCCAATTAAAATTTCCAAGCTATAACCTAATTTGAAAAGTAATTAGCCATCATTTAGTTTCAAGATGAAACCCCAACTCAAAGTTATAGTGACGTCCTATAGGAGTCCACCAACTCTGTTAAAGGGAAAAAGGTCAATTCCTTTCCTAGGAATTACAGAACAGACAAGTAATGAAGGTGAAACTCTGTGATCTCTACCTTCCACCAAGCACACGAATCCTAGAAGCAAGAAAAACACCACAACACCAAACTGAGATGATCAAAATCAGGGCTTTGTGCCAACTTAGCTGGGCGGGAATGGATGGCACAGGTGTTTCCAGATGTAACCAACCCCATCAAATGGCTCTGAGCAAATGTCCCAATTCAGGCCTGAAGTCTGCCCTGGTCCCTTTCACTGGCCCAGAGGATGGCCTTAGGATGTCCCCCGATACTCTGTGCAAGGAGTCCCGATGCCTTGCTCTCCATCACTACCTCCATTGCCAACACGGATACCCCAGCCTTCTTCCAAAATAACCACAAATCCTCCTCAATTTCAAGTTTCTGAGATTTACCTCCAAATGTACGAGAGACTCCTCCCTGTGATGCAGGTTTCATAATTATGTTCCTGCACTGTAATTATTTACATTTTATAGGTGGGGGGTGTCCAAGGCACCGAGAGAAATAAAAGCCTAGTCCAGGTTATATCATGAGTCAATGATAGTCAATATATCCCATGTGTCAGGATTTTAGGTTCTCAGGGGTGAGGACCATGTAATTTAGGTTACCTGGCTTGGGGAACAATGCTCAAAACATGGTAGAAGCTAACAAATATTCACTGAGTACATATTGCCTGTTTGGATGTTACAGACCATTTTTGCTTTTAAGAAATTAAGGTAAGAGAGAGAATGGTTTTAAGAAGAGAGAAAGTGATGTAAGTCCCTAAAATTCTAATACACAATAAGCTGTGTGCTCAGTCCTGTCCTACTCATTGCAACCCGATGGACTGTAGCCCACCAGGCTTCTCTGTCCATAGAATTTTCCAAGCATAAATACTGGAATGAGTTGCCATTTCCTACTCCAGGGAATCCTCCTAACCCAGGGATTGAACCCAAGTCTCCTGCATTGGCAGGTGGATTCTTTACCACTGAGCCACCTGGGAAGTCAAAATCCTAATACCCTTAGGCATTTGTACATTTTGCTCTTATTTTATAAATGGCATTTTCTTCCTTTGATGAAAACTACTTTGCGTCTTAAGAGACAAACTTTAAAAAGTGGCATAGGCTCTCCTTCCTGCTCTTTTCCAGGTCCTCCCCCTACAAGGAGACATTTCGGGGACGTTTTTTTCAAACTAAGGAAGTTATTTGTGTATTATGGAAGAAATGGAAAAGGAAACATTCTTTTTAAATGTCTCATGATACACAGCATAGAAATTCTGTACCTTAGACCAAAATAAGAGTAACAAAAACCTGAGGTGAAAAGGGGCCTTCAGAATCATCTAGTCCTTCTCACCTCTCCCCAGCCCTGTGGTCTGAATCAAATGGTCACACATAGTTTCAATAATTTTTTAGTTTGGACCCATTTTCCAGGAAGCTAAAGCACCTTTAAAAGCATCTGAAAGAAAGGTTTTTTTACTCCTAGGCTTTATAGATTTTGCTCTTATTTTACAGTTGAATAAATTGCAGCTAGAAGTACAGTCTCCATCTTTTATTTGGCACGTGCTAAGTGAGTTCGGATCTTTTGCGCCAGCCTGGCCCTCAGCCCCACTTCACTGGAGAATCGCCCGCCACCTACTCAGTGGCACCCTGCCCCCTCTTGCATGCTCGAACCCTTTGAACCAGCCTGCATCTCTGGCTGCGCTGATTGGCCGGGTGCCCACCCTCCACCCCACCCGAGTCTCCAACGGAGCCAATCACTTGCTCTCCTGGGAACTGTAATCAACCAGGCCCCCTTCAATCCAAAGGGCCCTGTAATCTTAAGGTCCCAGTGCTTTGAAAGGGCTTACTCTCTGCAGTTGCCTTCCTCACTTTGTAATATTTTTATTTTTGAATCTGTATTTTTTTAAGAGAAAGCTGACAGGGCAATGGAGCTCACCCCAGGGGCTGGACTTCAGCTCACTTGTGGTCTGTCTCCTACAGCCACCCCAGGAGGGGTTTTTAGGTCCCTGCTCCCCACCCCCCGCCCATCTCCCCTACCCTGCCCCACCACTGCTGTCATCCTACTCCTAAGGCGATGACACGGTCGTGTCGGTGGGCACCCAGGCCCCGGTGCCTTACAGCATCTTGCAGAAAGCCAGGCAGCAGACCTCCCTGCCCTGGGCTGGCAGAGCTCTGGCTTGAGTGCTGGTAACTCAATGGGGGCCTCTTGACCACCCCTGATCTATGTACTGAGACCATGAAGGTTGCTACTCTTGGGGTCCCCTGTCCACGGTGGGTTGCAGCTGCAGGTCTATGGGAAGGGAAGTGCCTTCCACGCCCTGGTGGCAACCACATTTGCATTCTGCACCTGCTAATGACGAAGTCCACCCTGTCTGCTGATCACTTCACCTAAGGACACGCCAACTGGACATCTGTGCAGCTTAAAACGGCTGAAACTTAAAGAAAAAAGCAGAGAAAAACAGCCTGGATTCTGAGAGCTATCTTGTCTTTCTAAGCGTCTGTTCCCCCGGTCTCACCTGCCAGTATTCCCAGCCCCAGAGAAACACCTGACTCTAGAAGGTGCCGAGAAAGTGTCTGTACGGGAACAGAGCTGGAGAAGATCCCAACTTTCCTCCTGTCCCACTCCCTGCCCAATGGCACCACCCCCATCACCCCCCAACCCAAAGGCTTTGAGCCAAAAAACCAGTTATATTCAATAGCAGCCACCTAGGAAATGGGCCAGTTGTTACTTAATGCAGCCCCCATAAACAGGGAATACATAGCCCTCTAATGAAGTGGCAGAGGATCCAGAAGGAAAGAGAAAAACAGCTGACCTGTGTTTAAGAAGATGCTGAAAATGGGCTGCCAGTGGAAGAACAAGGCTCCAAGGAAAAAAACGCAAAACAAACAAACAAACAAGCAAACACAAGGATGTCTGTGGAAAAGTATCCAAAACTATGCACTCTTCAGTGGATTGAAAAGATTGAGCTCATCCTGGGTAATCCTGGAGGGTGGGCAGAAGGAGTTGGGGAGGACAGAGGAGACAGTGGGCCTGTGACAACTGCAGGGCTGCTCCCTGACCCGGCCAGAAGGACTCAGGAAAATGAAGAACCAACAAGCCAGGAGTTGCGGTGAGTGATGCTACTCCCACACAAGGTAGGAGCTCTGTAAATGCTTAAGGCTGCTGACCATCCATTGCTTCCAGTGCTTTAGCAGTGATGATGACAGTAAGAAGAGAAAGGAAGACAGTAGGGATGATGCAGGTTTTTACTCTTTGTCAGGCACTGTATTGTACCTTAGAATGCATGATCTCACTTTATCATTGCCACAAATTGATGCCTTTTATACAGAAGAAGAAACTGAGGCTCAGAAAAGTGAAAGTCA